AAGCTACTCTTCCACTTTATTTTCTTCAAGAATTTAATTATTCTTTTCAAAATTCACACAAACCCAAATGAACTAATGTGTTATTTTACTTTTTTATACAAGTACAACGTTAAAATTTGAGCTTGATAACTACAAACAAAATACTTTATTTTGTTGAACAAGAAAGTATTTTTACTACAACATGAAAGGAAATTACTCATTTTGTAGAATGAAAGAAAATATTTTTTCTACATCATGAAAAGAAAGTACTCCGTTTGTTAAAATGAGAAAATCTTTTTTCTACATCATGAAAAGCAAGTACTTGTTTTATTGAAATGAAAGAAAATACTTTTACTACATCATGAAAAGAATATACTCATTTTGTTGAAATAAAAAATAATAATCTATCTACAACATGAAAAGAAAATACTCTTAATAATAATTCTATTTAGGTTGGGTGGTGGGCGAGGTTGGGGTGAGTGGGGTGTGGTCGGGAGGAGTGGGTTGGGGATGGGGTGGGTTGATGGGCATGGGGAATAGGGTGGAAAAGGTTGAAAAGAGTTTTGGAAAATATTTTTCCTCTTTTTGATAGGGAAAACAATTTTCTCCAAATGGAGGAAAAATAAGTTGATGAAGAAAATATTTTTCAAAACATTTAAGCCAACCAAACATGGAAAAATTGGAAAACATTCCTTCGTACCAAACACACCCTTAACTCTCTAAATTTCTCCTATAAATTTAAAAGAGATGATAAAATACCACCCCAAGAAATTGGTTTTAGCAATGGAATTTGCGACTGATGGTTTTAGCTTGGTAATACTAGCGAAACATTAGCCGATTAGCGATGAAATTAGGCATTTAGCGACAAATCCTATTTAGCCCAGGATTTACGTAGTTTACAACAACAATAACTCAGTAAAATCCTACAGACAGGGGCGGACCCACGTGTAAGGTTCTGGGTGCTGCAGCACCCACTGACTCCGACGGGGACTCGGTATATTAATAGAGAAATTGTATGAAAACTGATATATTATATTAGCAAGCACCCAATAAAAAAACAAGTTCAATGGGTGGTTTGGTTTGGAGGCTGAGGTTGGGTGACTGGACACGTAACATTGCAAGATCGAATCTTGCTGGCAACAAAAAAAAATTTCCAAAACAATAACACTTTTCCTTATTTAATAAATCGCTAACTTTCTTGTTTTCTAATCCTTTTCCATGCCAATTTATTACTTACCTTCTTTTACTTTTTTCCCCATTTTTTCTATTTCCTCTTATTTATTAATTAGAAGAGGAAAAGGAGAAAAAGAATCCTCCACTAGTTAGTAATACATCAGATATGTCATTGAAAAAAGCAATCTGCTCTTTTCCTTCTGATCACTCATTAAGTCCAACGCAAATACGTGGATAAGGTTATGATGGGACTAGTAACATGTAGGGAGAGCTAAATGGTGTTAAGACTTTGATTTTGAATGAGTCTCCATCAGCATATTGCATTTACTGTTTCGCTCACCAATTACAATTAACATTAGTGGCTCTTGCACAAAAGCATTCAGATGTAGATGACTTTTTTTGTATAGTTACTAATGTCTTAAATATTGTTGGAGCATCTTTTAAGCGCAGGGATTTGCTTCGAGAACATCAAGCTGAAAAATTAGAGGAGTTGCTCAAATCAGGTGAAGTGCATACTGGACGAGGATTAAATCAAGAACGTGGGCTTCAACGACCAGGTGATACTCGTTGGGATTCTCATTATAAAACGTTGGATAACCTTATTGTCCTATTTCCATCGATTATTCATGTACTTGAATTTACTGCACGTGAGTGTCCAAACTATGCCGACAGAATTGTTGCTGAAAGTCTTATGGGCAAGATTAAGGAATTTGATTTTGCTTTTAAGTTGCACTTGATGTTAAAAGTTTTAACAATGACAAATGAGTTGAACTTTGCATTACAAATGATGAATCAAGATATTGTCAATGTTATGGGACTCCTTGCTCTTACAAAGCAACGATTACAAACGATGAGGAATAGTGAATTTGGATTTTTAATGGAAGATGTCTCTTCTTTCTGTGATAAACATGGTATAATAATTCCAAAGATGGACACTCGCTACTTTCCTGGGAAGTCGAAGCGTAGAGCTCTTGAGGTTACATATTCTCATTATTTGCGTGTCGACATTTTTTATGCTGTTATAGATTTACATTTTCAAGAGCTTAACTGTCGCTTTGATGTTGTGAGTACTGACTTACTCCTCGGTATGGCTAGCTTAAATCCAGTTAATTCATTTGGTAATTTTGATACGAACGGGATAATGAGGTTGGATGAATATTATCCGAATGAGTTTGATAGCATCAAGCTTCGAGATCTCAGTTGTCAGCTTGATAGTTTTATAGTCTATGCCCGTGGTGTTGACAAGAGGTTCTTTGGCATGAAGGGAATTAGTGATCTTGCTAAAGTGTTGGTTAAGTAAGATCTGCATCAAACTTGGCCACTTGTTTATTTGCTTATCAAGTTGACTCCCATTCTTCCTGTTGCTACAGCTTCTGTGTAACGAGCTTTCTCATCCATGAACTACATCAAAAGTGAACTTCGTAACAACATCAGTGATGAATTTTTAAATAGTTGTTTAGTATGCTATGTAGAGCGTAAGATATTTTCAAGTGTCAGCAATGATGCTATTATTCATCGTTTTCAACATATGAAAAGTCGCCGAGCACAGCTATGAGATATGACTAGAAGTCCTTTTTTTTTAAATGATAACATTATTATCGTGACTCGTGGCTAGAAGTCATTTTTGGTAATGACAATAGTAATTGTATTTTTCTCACTAGTTATTTCCATCGCCCCGTTTGAATAATTTGCGCTTATATTATGTGATTGATAACACCTTTATATTAAAAGAAAGTGAGTACCCACGATCTTAAAATCCTGAATCCGCCAATGTTAAAAGTTAAAACATTGGTAGGCTTTCAAAAAATACCAAACGAAAATACTAAAACAGAATCCTTCTCGGCTTCTCCAGTTCTCCTTGTAGGTTTCGCAGGCTACACAGTGAATAACAAGTTTTCCTGACCTCCCCATCTCAAAATTAAAATACAAGAAACAAGGTAATAAGATTTGGTATTTTGATTTAAGCTAGTTAGCTAGAGATTTTGGGTATAAATTGCAATATTTTATCGAAGATATTGGGTTTTACAAATTAAAATTCGTATTACCTATGCTTTGTAAAATAGATTCAGTATTTTTTTATGCGTACTTGTCAAAAAGTGAAAAATTAATTTATCTTTATTTCTGACTTAATTTTAAAACTGATTTTTTTTGGGATAAATGTTGGTTATTAGTATCAGTTTGTGTGATTGATGAATTTATCCTCATTGGCTCATTGCTTCGAAAATTTGTAAGTTTTCATCTTATCTTCCGAAAGAATAAATATTTCTGATATTTTTAGTTATAAAGAAGTGTGATCAATTTTTCGGTGCAATGTGGTTAAATATGTTGTTATTGCTTTATTATTTGTATTGTTATAGAGGGGCATGCGTTCCCCAATAAGATTTAGTTGAATTATTTGAATTGAATTTTAGGTAAAATTGAATCTTATTCTGTAGAAATATTTCATCAATCTTTGTGAATCGAGATGGATAGTTTTGTCAGAAGAACGAATGTTGGGCAACCAAGTTCTAGTTCTACTAATCCATCTATTGCTTCATCCATAGCTCCGGAAATTCAGAGGGACAAATTTCTTTCTGATCTTGATTTAGAATCTCTCAACGCTGATCCGGGAGATAGAAAGCCTATTACAGAATACAGCCCTAATATACGTGATGAAGTTAGAATATATTATATTCAAAAAAAAGATTTGCCAGCCTGTGAATCATGATTTTCCTAAAACAAAATTTAGGAAGATAATGCGTCAGTTTTGTCCTGGTTGGTTTAAGGGTCAACATTCTAAGTGGTTGGAATACAGTATATCAAACGATACTGCATATTGTTTCTATTGCTATTTGTTCAAAAATGAACATGAAAGTCATGGAAATACGGGAGATGCTTTTACAAAAAAATGGCTTTAAAGCTTGGAACAAGGCTATTGAAAGATTTAAAGCTCATGTTGGAGAAGTAAATAGCATCCACAAGTATTTCAACAGGATGCTTGATTTAATGAATCAATCACAATCAATTCGCACTTCTTTTGACAAACAATCTGAGAAAGAAAAAAGTGAGTCTCGACGTCGCTTGAGTTCTTCAATCGATGTGACAAGATTTATTTTGAGACTAGGTTTGCCATTCCGTGGGCATGATGAGAGTCAATATTTTACAAATAGAGGTGTCTTTCTTGAGATTTTGCAATGGTATGGAGATATTGATCGGGATATTGGAAGCATTATATTAGAAAATGCTCCAAGAAATGAAATGATGTGTTCTCCAAGTATTCAAAAAGATATTGTCGATGTTTGTGCTAAAGAAATAATCAAAGCTATCATTGAAGACCTGGATGGGGATTTTTTTGGGATACTAGTTGATGAATCAAAAGGCATATCACACAAAGATCAAATGTTACTGTTTTGAGATATGTTAACAAAGAAGGCGAAGTCATAGAGATATTTGTTGGTATTGTTCATGTTAGTAATACATCGACTATGTCATTGAAAAAGGCAATCTGCTCTTTTCTTTCTGATCACTCATTAAGTGCAACGCAAATACGTGGATAAGGTTATGATGGGGCTAGTAACATGTAGGGAGAGCTAAATGGTGTTCAGACTTTGATTTTGAATGAGTCTCCATCAGCATATTGCATTCACTGTTTCGCTCACCAATTGCAATTAACACCTGTGGCTCTTGCAAAGAAGCATTCAGATGTAGATGACTTTTTTGTATAGTTACTAATGTCTTAAATATTGTTGGAGCATCTTTTAAGCGCAGGGATTTGCTTCGAGAACATCAAGCTGAAAAATTAGAGGAGTTGCTCAAATCAGGTGAAGTTCATACTGGACGAGGATTAAATCAAGAACGTGGGCTTCAGCGACTAGGTGATACTCGTTGGGGTTCTCATTATAAAACGTTGGATAACCTTATTGTCCTATTTCCATCGATTATTCATGTGCTTGAATTTACTGCACGTGAGTGTCCAAACTATGCCGACAGAATTGTTGTTGAAAGTCTTATGGGTAAGATTAAGGAATTTGATTTTGCTTTTATGTTGCACTTGATGTTAAAAGTTTTAACAATGACAAATGAGTTGAACTTTGCATTACAAAGGATGGATCAAGATATTGTCAATGTTATGGGACTCCTTGCTCTTACAAAGCAACAATTACAAACTATGAGGAATAGTGAATTTGGATTTTTAATGGAAGATGTCTCTTCTTTCTGTGATAAACATGATATAATAATTCCAAAGATAGATGCTAGCTACTTTCCTGGGAAGTCGAAGCGTAGAGCTCTTGAGGTTACATATTCTCATTATTTGTGTGTCGACATTTTTTATGCTGTTATAGATTTGTATTTTCAAGAGCTTAACTGTCGCTTTGATGTTGTGAGTACTGACTTACTCCTCAGTATGGCTAGCTTAAATCCAATTAATTCATTTGGTAATTTTGATACGAACGGGATAATGAGGTTGGCTGAATATTATCCGAATGAGTTTGATAGTATCAAGCTTCGAGATCTCAGTTGTCAGCTTGATAGTTTTATAGTTTATGCATGTGGTGTTGACAAGAGGTTCTTTGGCATGAAGGAAATTAGTGATCTTGCTAAAGTGTTGGTTAAGTAAGATCTGCATCAAACTTGGCCACTTGTTTATTTGCTTATCAAGTTGACTCCCATTCTTCCTTTTGCTACAGCTTCTGTGGAACGAGCTTTCTCATCCATGAACTACATCAAAAGTGAACTTCGTAACAACATCGGTGATGAATTTTTAAATAGTTGTTTAGTATGCTATGTAGAGCATAAGATATTTTCAAGTGTCAACAATGATGCTATTATTCATCGTTTTCAACATATGAAAAGTCATCGAGCACAATTATGAGATATGACTAGAAGTCCTTTTTTTTTTTGTAATGATAACATTATTATAGTGACTCGTGGCTAGAAGTCATTTTTGGTAATGACAATAGTAATTGTATTTTTCTCATTAGTTTTTTTCATCGCCCCGTTCGAATAATTTGCGCTTATATTATGTGATTGTTAGCACCTTTATATTAAAAGAAAGTGAGCACCCACGATCTTAAAATTCTGCATCCGCCACTGCCTACAGGTAGGGTCTAGGGAGGGTAGTGTGTATGCAGACCTTACCCAGGGGCGTAGGCACCTTGCTTGAAGTAGTGTCACGTGACACCGCTTCGTCGAATTGTTTTCGTCATCCGTATGTATAAATAATAAATAATATAAAATATTTGGTATAAATATAAAAAATGGCACCGCTTGCCGTTACAATAATCTATTCATTTGTTCACTTTTTCAAATAGTGACATCGCTTACGAAACTTTATGCGTACATCATTGCCTTACCCCTACCCCGAGGAGTAAAGGGACTATTTCCGTTAGACCCTCCGCTCAAGAAGACGAAAAGAGACAATAGATAAGTAGCAGCAACAAAAAGTAGAAAGATAATAACAACATCGTAAGAGCCCGAAAATAGATGGAAAAGCAATAATAATAACCAGTAATAAAAGTCCAATACTATAAAAGAAATGAAAAATAGTGTGAATACTATATTAACCCAGTGAAATCCTACCAGTGCGGTCTAGGACGAAATATTTCTATATCTCATTTTTTGGTAGTGAAGGGAGAAAGAGATTGATAAAAAATGCACAAAAGAATAACGAAGCAGCAAAGCACTAGAAATATAGTACACCCGCTTTACCCGGATATAGTCGTCTTTTATGTTCCTTCTATGAAAGATTAAAATTTGAGTGGGGAAAATTAATAAAGTAGGGTTTTTGAGAGTTTTAAGTTCATATTCCTAAATATGTTTTAGCAAGTTCATATTCCTTTCTGCATATACTTATGGTTATTATAGGAATTCCATTCATTTGCACAAGTACTTATTTTCAAATGAAGTATTTACTTTTTCTCAAATATTCTTTAGACTGAATTAATATGTCCTAATCTGTTTCAAATGAACAACTATAACATTTCTTAATATTATAAGTTTTTATGTATTAGACATATGCATTCTAAACTTTCATTTGGTTGTAATCTTCTGTTATTAGAAAAGAAATACTTCATAAATTTACTCAAATTTCCATAGAATGCAAAGCGCAAATAACGGGGCATTTGCATATATACCCTTTTTGGGGCCACTATTAAATTTATATTCGCATTGAATAAAACTTTATAAAGTGTACTCGTTCGGATTTGAAATAGTTCAATTTCTTTAGTGCAACTTCAAAAATCAAATCTGAAGTTCTCATATCTTTCAACTTTAACTTCAGAATATCAAATCTTAAGTAGTTCAATTTTTTCAATACAACTT